CCAAATGGTATCTAAGATGCTTTCCAATGCTGCAGATTTATCCTTTTCTAAATCAACTACTTAATAGACACTTTCACTGGCATCATATCATTTAATCCTCACAATATCCCCATGGGAGAATAGATGTTATTCTTGTTTGTAAAGAGAAGTAATTGAGGCTCATACTGGTAATAGATAGAGGAGTTGGGATCCAAACCTGTCTCTTCAACTCCAAACACAGGTTTTATTGCTGCGTCACATTCTGCTATGAGCTGGATTTCTTAGCAAGTGGTGATTCCTTTATCTGCAACGTTCTTCCTTTTAAGTCTGCTCATTCTTTAGGGAGAGTGTTCATGGCAACCCTACAGTTGCAAACTCTGTTAGGAGTTTTATACAAATTATCTCTTTTAATCCTGGTGATGGCCTTGTGAGAGGCACAGGAAACTTAGGCTCACCTGCCCAGATAAAGTGATGCAGCCAGAAACACACAAATAAAAAGTGATGGACAGGGACTTTACATGATATCCAAGACCACATGTGCCTTTGCCTATGGTCCAGGCCACATATCTTTTTCTCACTAAACCTCCTCGGAGCCATGTCAAAGTCCTCAAGGTTAAAAGAGTGGTCCATGATTATGAACAATTCCATTGCATGTCTTCAGCAACCTGCAAAGCCGACTCAGAGTAGGAAGTTTCCTCTTCAGCACTTGTTCTGCAGCAGGACTCCTGTTAGATTTAAGGACATGACTATTAATAAAGTCCCCTGGCCCTAAGTCGCAAGGGGTGGATTCTTAAGTATCAGCCTGGCCTGCTCCCTTGCTCTTTTGTTTAACTGTTAAATGTCATCATGAGGTCTCCTGTCAACAGGGAAGGGAGGGGCTGGAGCTATGAGGAAAGCAGAGGAGGGTGGGAGACATCCCAGAGCTAACAGCAGCCTGGCACCAGTAAGTCCCTGGTTTCTGCTTCTGTCTGTAAGCAGACAAGAGAGCACACCAGAGGCCTAGGCAGGAGCTGAGGGGAGCCCCCTCTGCCTGGAAGGAGGCAAGAGAACAGACCAGGGGACCTAGCCAGGAGCTGAGAACATCCTCCCAGCCCCAGAAGCAGGCAGGAGAGTATGCTGAAAACACGACTTCTGTGTGGCCCACCACAGCCACCGCCACAGCCATGGCTGCTGCAAAAATGGCTCGATGCCAGGGCAGTAGCCCCAGCCACTGTGCAGGTGGCCCACCAGATACTCGACTGCATTGACACAAGGAGAGTCACCGGCAGAGACTGAAAAAAGAAAAGAAGATCTCTCTCCTCAAAGCCCACTCAAGAGTACTAGAAGAAGTAACTACTCTATCAGATGACCAAACATCAGCGTAGAGACACTAGAAATATGAAAACCCAAGAAAATATGAAACCCCCAAAAGAATACAGTAATTCTCAAATACCAGACCCTATAGACCAGGAAACCCTTGAAATGACTGAAAAGGAACTCCAAGCAACAATCTTAAGGAAACTCACTGAGATATGAGGAGACTCAGAGAAAACATAATGAAATGAGAAAAAATATCCAGGATATGTAGGAGGAAATTTACAAAGAGATTAATACCTTAAAAAAGAATGTAGCAGAACTCATGGACTGAAGGATTTATGTAAATTAAATAAAAAACACAACAGATAGCTTAAGCAGCAGACTAGAACAAGCAGAAGAAAGAATTTCTGATCTTGAAGATAGTCTTTCTGAAACAACCCAGACAGACAAAAAAAAAAAAAAGAAAAGAAAAAAGCAAGAAAAAAGAATTTTAAAAATGAAGAAAATCTGAGAGCTGGCAGACAACCTTAGGCACACAAACATTTAAATTATAGGTGTTTCAGAAGGGTAGGAGAAAGGAAAAGGCACAGAAAACCAATTCAATGAAACAATAATGGAAAACTTCCCAGGTACAGGGAGAGACATGGACCTTAAGATCCAGGAGGCTCAAAGATCTCCAAACAGATTTAACCCAAAAAGATTCTCTCCAAGACACATTACAAAGTGGCAAAGCTTAAAAGACAGAGAGAATCTTAAAAGAAGCAAGATAAAAGCGTCAAGTCACCTATAAGGGAACCCTATCAGACTAACAGCAGACTTCTCAACAGAAACTCTACAGACCAGAAGAAAATGAGATGACATATTTAAAATACTGAAAGAAAAAAAGCAGCAAGTCAAGAATACTATACCCAGCAAATGAGGGAAAAATTGTATTTTCCAGACAAACAAAAACCGTGGGAGTTCACCACCACATGGCCAGCCCTACGAGAAATCCTCAAGGAAGTCCTGTATCTGGAATCCCAAAAACAATAATCACTACCATGAATACACAAGAAAACAAAATCCACTGGTAGAACAAAAATGCAATGAAAAGAAACTATACCTTACCATCACAAAAAACCATAATGACAATGTAATAATGCCCCTGCTTTATTTCTGATTTTAGTAATTTCAGTCTTCTCTTTTTTTCTTGATCATTCTAGATAAAGGTTAGCAAATTTTGTTGATCTTTTTCAAGAACCAACATTTGGTTTTGTTGATTTTCTCTATTGTTTTTTAATTCCCTATTTCATATATTATTGTTGTAATCTTTGTTATTTCCTACTTATATTTGCTTTTGGTTTGGTTTCTTCTTTTTCTATTTTCTTAAGGTAGGGGTTTCATGATATGAGATTTTTCTTATTTTTAATATAGGTGTTTACAAATTTCCCTCTAAGCACTGCATGAGCCCTGCATCCTATAAATTTTGATATGTTGAGCTTTGATTTTTATCTCAAAGTACTCTCTAATCTCCCTGTGATTCTTCTTTATACCCATTGTTTATTTACAAGAGTATTGTTTAATGTACACACATTTGTGAATTTCCTAAATTTCCTTCTGTTATTATGGTCAGAGAATATATTTTCTATCATCTTAGTCTTTTTAAATGTATTAAGACTTGTTCTGCGGCCATAAAGAAAAAAAAAGTCACTGGTTTCTTGCATCACATGGGCAAAGGCCACTCTTCTTTTGATCAGCATTTTATTCTCCATTCCTTCTTAGCTGCTTCACGTCATAAAAATATATATATTCCGTGAAATGATACACAGTAGATATTCACTAAGAAACTAAAAATAAGAGTTAGACATAAAGTGTCTTATTCCATTGAAATGTTTGGCTAAACTCTTAGGAATGGGGATGAGGCCATTGTTGGATGCCTGCGCTAAAATGAACCAGGAGAAGACTATTTAGGAAATATGAACAGGATATTTGACACACACCGAACATAAGTTTCCTCAGGCCTAGGGAGTGAAATGAAAATTGGCATAATCATTTTGGAGAACATACAGAGTCAAACAGAGAGTGAGAGTAGATTTTTCAAAGAGTGTATGTTAGGAGAATAGAAGACTAATGAACGGGACTTGTATTTGTAGGAAAACAGGCAGAGTATATCAAGAAATTCAAAGATAAAGAGAAACTTAAAGTAGGGGAGAAAAAAACAATCCCTATAATCCTCACTATTCTTTGTAAGTAAAAAGGAAACAAATAAAAATACCAGAAGTCAGNAAAGAAAAAAAAAGTCACTGGTTTCTTGCATCACATGGGCAAAGGCCACTCTTCTTTTGATAGCATTTTATTCTCCATTCCTTCTTAGCTGCTTCACGTCATCAAAATATATATATTCCGTGAAATGATACACAGTAGATATTCACTAAGAAACTAAAAATAAGAGTTAGACATAAAGTGTCTTATTCCATTGAAATGTTTGGCTAAACTCTTAGGAATGGGGATGAGGCCATTGTTGGATGCCTGCGCTAAAATGAACCAGGAGAAGACTATTTAGGAAATATGAACAGGATATTTGATACACACCGAACATAAGTTTCCTCAGGCCTAGGGAGTGAAATGAAAATTGGCATAATCATTTTGGAGAACATACAGAGTCAAACAGAGAATGAGAGTAGATTTTTCAAAGAGTGTATGTTAGGAGAATAGAAGACTAATGAACGGGACTTGTATTTGTAGGAAAACAGGCAGAGTTTATCAAGAAATTCAAAGATAAAGAGAAACTTAAAGTAGGGGAGAAAAAAACAATTCCTATAATCCTCACTATTCTTTGTAAGTAAAAAGGAAACAAATAAAAATACCAGAAGTCAGTAAGAGTTTATGAGAATATAAAGTTGGTTTTATGGAAGCAAAGCCCTTTTCACTGCTGTAGGAAACTCCCAGCTGAGCCCTAACCGTGGCCATCTGATCTTCTCGCAGCTGTATTTAGTTATTTTTTGCTCTTGGCTTCTATCCTGGGTTCCGGGGTTCTGGAGGGTGGGCCAAGGTTAGATATTGGAGTTGTTCCTTTAATTTATTGTGCTAATTCTTCTTAAGGAAAAACAAAGATTGTGAGAACACATGTTAGAATTTTAGCTATGAGAAATGACTTAGAAATATTAAATTGACTCCAACAACTTGAGTCAATTTGAAAACTCCCAGTCTCTAAGGATAAAAAGTATAATCCTATTTAGAAATTCCTGGTGTGATCCCAGATGTGGGGTTGGTTCTTTTCATGAAACCCATTAATTAAAAAGCACATAATCCAAAGTCAATTAAGTAGTAAGATATTATAATAAATTCTTATTTTATTAACTTTTCAAAATGTGAATCAGAACTACACACTCAACCCCCAAAATTCATAGTTTCCACTGACTGCTGGAGAACAATGGAAAAAAACTCCAGTCGTGGTAGCAGCTCACTGTGGGGTGACCTACCTTCAAAATAATTTATTGGTTGAAGCAGATGTTTGCGTTGTGGGGTTAGTTACTAAGTTAGGCTTGATGAGAAACAGATACAGCTAGATATGGGGATTCAAATATGTAATGCGTTTCTCCTCACAATCAGAGATAAACTCCCCATGGTTTTTCTCTTCACAGGCTCATGCCAAAATCTGGCATCTCTACAACACGTCTTTTCGCTCCACTCAGGGAGGCCAGGTGTCCATCGCCCTAGGCTCCCACTGGATAAACCCTCGCAGAATGACTGACCATAACATCAAAGAATGTCAAAAATCTCTTGACTTTGTGCTAGGCTGGTTTGCCAAACCCATATTTATTGATGGTGACTATCCTGAAAGCATGAAGAATAACCTTTCATCTCTTCTGCCTGACTTTACTGAATCTGAGAAAAAGTTCATCAATGGGACGGCTGACTTTTTTGCTCTTTCCTTTGGACCAACCTTGAGTTTTCAGCTCTTGGACCCTGGCATGAAGTTCCGCCAATCAGAATCTCCCAGCCTGAGGCAACTGCTCTCCTGGATTGACCTTGAATATAACCACCCTCAAATATTTATTGTGGAAAATGGCTGGTTTGTCTCAGGGACCACCAAGAGAGATGATGCCAAATATATGTATTATCTCAAAAAGTTCATAATGGAAACCTTAAAAGGTATGATTGCAGCTAAAATTCTCATTTCCTGCCAAAATCCAGTGCAAAATCAATCTTTAAGATAATCTGTCATAAACTACATGAATTTATATATTTTAATTATAATGTAGAAATTCATTTTGGCAATAGTGGGAATGCACTTATGTAACACCTTTCTCATTTGGGGTTTGAAGAACGTAAATTTTTAAAACTCATTTTGTAAATGAGAAACTGGGTTATGATGTTTGAAATTACTTGACTTTCAGAGTTACTAATTTAGATTTTTAGATTCTATTAAGCATAAAATAAATCCCTGGATATTTAGGTCTCTGTACATGTTTTTGAGTTTTTATTGCTTCGGCTGAATAAAACAATTTTTAGAGAAAAAGGAATACCCAATTTTCTGGAGAACATTAGTAAGTAGCTCATGCTTTTAAAGCCTTTATTCATTTATTGCATCAGGCACAATGCTAGGTGTCTCAGACAGAAAGTGGGACAAGACTTCTGCCCAGCCCCGTAGAGCACCCACTGGAAATAAAAAACTACCCTGTCAAGGTGCTCAGAAATTCAAATAAAAACATATTGGAGATAAGCCGATTTGTGAAGGCATTTATTTGTAGAGTTATCTAGACTTGATTAGAGTCTTTTGTAATAAGAAAAATCATTGGTTTACCAAACAAGAAGCATTACACAGTATTTATTTCTTTAATAGTAAAACCCTCAGATGCTCTTGAATCATGAGGTCGGTGTCCAGAGAAAGGTCACGTTGCTCTCTTGTCTCTGCCTTTGCAGCCATCAGGGTGGATGGGGTCAATGTCATTGGGTACACGGCGTGGTCCCTCATGGATGGCTTCGAGTGGCACAGAGGCTACAGCATCAGACGTGGACTCTTCTATGTTGACTTTCTAAGCCAGGATAAGAAGTTGTTGCCGAAATCTTCAGCCTTGTTCTACCAAAAGCTGATAGAGAAAAATGGCTTCCCTCCTATACCTGAAAATCAACCCCTAGAAGGGACATTTCCCTGTGACTTTGCTTGGGGAATTGTTGACAACTACATTCAAGTAAGTCAGCTGACAAAACCAATCAGCAGTCTCACCAAGCCCTGTCACTAGTAAGTAGTGCTTCCTTATTAGGCTGGTTGTCATGGCACATGGTCCATTCTTTGAGCCAAACGCGGTTCCTTAATGAACACATTAAGTGCACAATTTGGAATGTTTTTTCATAGATAAGATATAACACAGAACCCCAAAGTATCCAAAATCTCAGTGGAGCTGCTGAGATTGAGGCAGGAACATTAGGCAGAGCCCTCCTGAGGCATAAATGTGGACCCTGCAAACTTGTAGAAACACCTCAAGAAATAAAACCCTTGGTCCAATGATTCACTGTTCAGAATGGCCTTTTTAACAATAGTCATTGAAATGATGTGGAAGTTCTTCAAAATGATCAATCAATATTTATTGAGCATCTATGATGTAGTTAGCCCTCAATATTCTTTTTGATTTCCCTCATTTTAAAGGGACTTGTTTTCTAGAGTTTGATTGAACACTTTAGTAAGCGCTTATTGGATGCCTAGTGTGTACAAAGCCCTGTGTTATTTGCTCAGTTAAGGGCAGCTCTGTTAAGGGTAGAAGACACACTGAGATGAGTAAGATGGCCTGTGCTTTCAAAGGAGTAAAGGAGTCTATTGAGAGAAAATGATGGATGTAACAGAGTGAACGGAGAATGGTGGTAAGTGGTGAGTAAACACGACGGTGGTGTGGTCCGGGTGTGAGGGGGAGGGGCGCCGAAGTGAAGTCTGAGAGGGACAGTAACAGTCAGGACAGAGACAGGTTCAGTACCCAGAGACAAGCAGTGGGATTTAGCATGTTGGATTCTTCTAGCAAATTCATTGGTTCTACAAATAGCAGCTTCAAAAGAAGTATTTGGAAGAATGCTTGGATCTGTGGAAAGGCCTCCAATTTGAAATGGGTTGCTGTCTCCTTGTAAGTATCAAACTAACATCTTTTATTTATAAAGAACTAAATCAGCACTATCCTTAATCCTTTTTTTTTTTTGCTGGTTTGGCATATTTTTATGTCTTTTCCAGACCATCCAGTTCGTTTTAGAGGCAGCCTGGGCACCCTCCTTCCTTTTAAAAGACAGCTGAGGAAAGAAAGCGTGCCAGCAGGAATATCTGCACGCAGTAGAGTTTCGTAGCGTCCTGCACAGCGTGGGGACTTCCTCCATCTCTCTCCTTCTC